AAAAAAAGGATCTTTTTTTTCCTACAAAAAGGAATAAAAAAAAAAAAAAAACACATTCAGAATCAGTGTTTTTATCCATTACTAAACTTGAACCTTGTGGAGGAGTTTGAGCTGTGTTTTGACTTTCTCGATTCCAGTCCTCTCATCCTTTCCCGTACTGTCACTCTAGCCAGAGACAGATTTACAATGAAGAAAATGAGGCCTGAGCTCGATGTCCTGGAACTCAACCAACATGATAGGCAAGTTAATCAGTGAGCTCCGGGGCTCCCTGCCTCTGCCTCTCCGGTGCTGAAATTACAGGCATGAGCCACCGCGTCAGACCTTTCACGTACATGTTGAGGATCTGAACTCAGGACTTCAAGCACTTTACCAAGTGAGCCATCTCCACCGCCCTCTACATTATCTTTTTCAAAGGACCCTTCCGTACAAGGGGAGGGGTGAAGCTGGGCCTGCCTATAACCATAACTGTTGACCCAGTAAACCCTGCCGGCAGACATTGTAAACATGACACCACATCTGTTCCCAGTAGTGCCTGGCAGTCAATAGGTCCTTGGCTAATGCCAACCTCTCGTTACATGAATGTGAGGGCAAGAACACAGACCGCATTGCAGAGAACCCTACATCACCCCAGTGGCCCATCTTGCTTGTCAACTAGACACACATGGGAAGAGGGAACTTCAATTGAAGAGTTTCCCCATCAGATTGGCCTGTAGCATGCCTGTGAGGGGCCACAGAAACTAAACAAGTATAGGCATCGCTCCATCACTGGTCCTTTACACATGCTACTTATTGCTCTGAGAGTCACAGGGTTTTCGTTCTCCAGTAACATCACCTATGAACACCACAGAACTTAAGTGAAATAGGGCCGAGAAGAACTGTGACCTTGGCCTCATTTCCGTATTGGTCTTCTCCTTCTCCTTTCTTCTTTTCCTGTCTTATATTTCCTCTCTCCTGGATCTTTCTGGGGCCTCCCATGAACTCTTACAGCTAAACCATTTGCAGAATCCTGACTGGACTGTTTCTCCATCGTTCATAGGTTAGAACTATTTTGATCTGGATTTCTGGAGAGTAATCCTTATTTTATTTTATTTATTTATTTTTTTAAGTTTATGTCTATGGGTGTTTTGTCTGCAAATGTCTGTGCACCACCCACATGCCTAGTGCCTATGAAAGGCAGGAGAGGGTGTTAGATCCCCTGGAACTGATGTTACAGTTTGTGTATACAGTTTGTGTATATATATATATATATATATATATATATATATATATATATACACAAAGGTGACACAATTATTGGACTCATCTCCTGCATTTTTCAGGATTTTATAGTGGACTTAATCCAGTTAGCATTGTTTCATGATGCCACATTCTCTCTTAAGAAGACCTAAGCATAAATAGATTCCTCATAGCATCAGGAGACACAGTCAGTCACAGTCAGTCAGTCACGGCAGGAAAGGCACAGCGACAGGAGCAAGAGGCCAGACGGTCCTGTTACACCCACAGTGGGGATGCACAAATGGGCTTTCATTGCTTTAACCTACAAATTGTACTTGCGCTAGGTAGTCAAACCACCTAGCTATGTCAGTGATCTCTCTCCTACTGTCATTGTAAAGTTGTGCATGTGTGCACACACATGCGTGTTCACGTGGGTGTGTATGTGTGTGCACGTGTGAAGAAAACACGGGTTGATGTCAATGTGTTTCTAAATCACCCTAGGTCTTACATTCTTGAGGCATGGCCTGTCTCTGAACCTGGAATTCAGACCTTAGTGCGGGCTTCTGGGCAATGAACCCCAGGGATCTGTTTGTCTCTGTCCTCCCAATACTGACATCATAGACATATACCTGGCTTTTAAGGGGGGACTGGGTACCCAAACTCAGGTTCTCATGCTTGACTGGCAAGCACTTAACTGACAAGCCATCTCCCTATTAGCCCAGCAACTGACTTGTTGAACCCAGTGACCAAGATTAATTACATTTACTCTTTATTGGCATTTTTTTACATTATTTACATTAATTTTCATATGGTATCAGTAGGAATAAGTGAAGAAAATGGATTCACATCACCAAGCCTCTGTTTTGTCAGATGGCTTATATACACAATCGCACCTAATCCATTTAATAATCCTTAGAGGAAACTGTTACTATTACTCTTCTACAAAGAAAGAAACCGAGGCACAGGGATATTAAGCAATTAGCTTAAGGTCGGGTTACCATGAGAGACACAGGCAGGCACCACAGACCTCCCCAACCCCTGTCAATTTCCAAAAGCTCAAAACCTCAAGGCACACCCCAAGAGACCTACCTACTCCAGTGAGGCTTTGCATCCTGAAGGCTCCACATCCTCCCCAAGCAGCATCACTAGCTGTGAACAAGTGCTCAAACACAGGAGCCTGGAGGGGTGGAGGAGCACACATTTCACATTCAAATCCCAGTATTGAGCAGTGAGTTCCTGCCTACAGAGCCCAAACACTCTCCATCTGGATTTACCAATCTTTTCATCCATACAGTCCAGCTCCTGTACCCTTATTTCCCAGGCTCCTCCCATTCTGCCTTATTTCTTATTCATAAATCTCCCAAGCCCTATACTGCCTCCTGGGGCCTTTGCACACACTACCATCTTGACCTAAAGATCTCTTTCATAATAATCTTTTCTACCATCTCCTGTTTTCATCTTAGCCCTAATTTCCCTGTTCCAAGGAACCTTACCCAGGATCTTAGATAGATGTTGCCCTCACGCCAGGCAACCCTTAGCCCTTTCTCCTCCTTCATGACACCATTTTCTCCTGAAAAAGGCCTTGTCATAAACATGTTTGTCTTCCCCATTGAGGCGTTCAGTTCTGCCATCTACCTCAGCTCTAAAAGGACTTGCTGATGAATTCATTGACATATAAAGTCACTTTGATTCCCACAATCCTAAACTGAAATTGAGTCTTTGAGGTTAGAAAGCAAAATTAAACCACCAGGGACT